GGCTGAAGATGTGCCTCCACGTGTGGACAGTCCAGCCTCCAGTTTAGGAGTACTCTTGGATTCCTGTCTGATTGCAGGCTCCCACATAGCAGCATCCATGAGTAATGCTTTGGCTCAGAAACAAGCCTATCCTGGCAAATGATGATCTGGACTCACTCACTTGTGCCTTCATCACTCTTTGGCTGGATTATAGCAATGTGAGACACCTGGGCATGAAGCCTTTAGTGTTTAGGAAAGTAGCTCGTGCAGAATATTGCAGCATATGCTTGTGGTAAATTTTGTTACTGGGAAAATATCAGAGTTACCCTGTATTTTCTGTGCCCCCTTAAGCATATGCTTTCTGATTTGCATTAGGATCTTTGCCCTTATATTTTAAGTGACACATTCTATTCTTAGTAGTGGTCCAGAATTAAATTGGAAAAGAGTAGAGGCTCAGAATGAAGTTGGAAAAGAGCATAGCCCTGAAATGAGATCATCTTCTAAAAGATTCTAAGATTTCTCAAGAGTTTAATCTCAGGTTAACACCTAGAAGATTTTACAAGCATTGGAGTTTTCCTACTTTTCGCTCTTACTGTAAGGCCTTTTCCTATGACCTTGGTGTCTCTAAAAATAACGTGTAAATTTCTGTTGAAGCCAGACATTCTGTAGCATGCAAGTCTCTTGCCTTTCCTGCAGAGAACAAGTATGGTGGATGAGTAGCCTAGTTACTATGGTGGAAGAAAGATAGATACAGTGAAGCATAGTATGAAAAGATGTGGAACTATAGAATGCTGAAGGTAATTGTAACTGGTGCTTCAGGGGTAGTAGAAGTCTTCCATCCCAAGCAAGTGCAAAACAGTGTAAGAAGTGTGGGCTGTTGCCAGCATTGTCCTTGTGATCTGTTACCATTCTGACGTCCAGAGGCTATTGATAGAAGCTCTAGAAATAACTTGGATTTTCTGTTTGCAGACTTGCACTTTGCATGAGGCTAGTCAAACCAGCTCCGGGTGGATGTATTAAGCTGGCATTGGATTCTGTTGTTTAAAGCATGGGGTTTTTTGATAGTAGATTTCAATTATTTAATGTTTTGGGTTTTTTGATGCGTCATTGAACTGGCCCATGATATCCCTTAAGATGACAGCATCCTAGTAAAAGAGAAAGCTTATGTACTGAGAGTTCTAGAACACAGTGAAATGCCTTCTGAATAGTCAGTCCCCATGGAAATGTAAATTTTATGGGCTTGGAGCTCAGACTGCCTAATAATTAAGAATGGTCTCTGCAGAAGGAAGCTAATATAAACATTTGTGAAGTACAGAAATATTGTTGTTTAGAAGTACCATCTGTATCTGCCAGAGGATCATATTCTCATATTTCTGATTGTGAACAATTAAAAGCATAAGAAGTTAATAAGCATGGTGAACCTAATTGCTATCTGCTTTGAAATACTGAGGGAGCCATGACTTTTTGAAATGGCTTGCTGCATGTGCTCAGTATCTTCCAGGATCTGGGTGAAAGTGTATTATCAACCAATGCTTTCAAGTATGCTGCCAATAAATGATAGATAAGATGGAGATGGTTAAATCATAGCTAAGAACAAAATGTATGATAGGGCTATTGTCATTGTTTTCAAAACAGAAGTGCTAAATCCAGAAAACTTACAGTTCAACTGTAAAGAAATTATAATACTTTAAGCTGTGGAAATATGTGGAAAGGGGATCCAGACTTCCAAACTCTTTTCTGTTGCCAGCTGCTCTCACTTCATATCTAGTTAAAGCTGAGAAAAGTATGGTGCAAAATATTTTTCACTTTTTAACCTTTAACCAGAGTTAGTTACATCATGGAGTGTTCCCCACCACGTTCCCTTCCACATGTGTATTTAAGGATAGATTTGATCTGATGAGCATCTTCATGGATTTGCTTGTGTAGTTCTTGTGGTTATTTTTCAAAATGGCTAGAAAGTGAGGGCAGTAGTGGCTTTGATTTCACTGAGAAATGAGATCTTTGGGTTTTTGACAGTTCTTTCTAAAGGAAGGATTTTTGTGTGTGTGTGTGTGTGTGTGTGTAACTGGTTTTATGTCTTTGTGTAGGCCAGCTTGTTCTGAATTGTGGAAAGTAATAGGGGAAGGATGGAGAAAGATGACTATTAATAAAGCAAATTGGGGATGCATTCCTTTCTGGACATTAACTTCATTGCATAACCAGATGATCGAAATTCCATCTCTCTCTCCTTCTTCCATTTTTCTTGAACAGTCTCCTTTTTCTTGCATTGGGGCTTTACTCGTATCCACTCTCCTTTTGTTCCACTAACCCTGCTCTCCTTGGTGCATATTTTCCCTCTTGCTGGGGTTTCCTTGGATAGCATATGTTTAACTTTCCCTTTACCCTTTCTTACTCCCTTTTATCTCCTTTGAGACATTGGCATCTAAGGCTGTTGTGGTACAGGAGGATTGTTAGAATGGAGAAGGCGTTTTTTCTTTTGTGTGGGGTTTTTTTTGTTTGTTTGTCGTTGTTGGCTTTTGTTGCTGTTGTTTGGGAATTTTTCAAACTGTAACATGCTGCTTTTATGAGCGGTGGTGATCATCAGTGGCTCATACTGGCTATTTTGACAATCAGATGCCATGGATTCCACCCTCAGTTTTTTGTTTTATTGATTTTTCTCCAAAGTCTGAGGTCTAAAAATATGTGTTGAATCAGGAGTATATGCAGTCTAAGAAAATTATTGCAGTTGGCCTAGATGGTAATTGTAGGTCCCTTCCAACTGCAACTCTTCTATATCATGATACTTACATTCTATTACATTACACTCTATAACAACTGTCTATTACATTGCATTCTATACATTATTCTGTTACATTACTTTATGGCATGTCCTTGTCTAGATGTAGGATTTTGCAAATGTCACCACAAGTAGTATTATCATCTGCTTAATGTTTGATTTATTTTTTAGATTTTTTTTCAAAGTTGTTTTTGGGGTGAGTGGGTCACATTGACCTGGTCCTAAAATGGAGGCACTGCCCACTTTATGTTCTGACTCTGCATCCTAACACTCTCCTTGGTTATGTTTGAAACAGTGTAAGCCTGCATCTGATTGAAAGTTGGTTGGTATCTTTCTGTAATATGCTCAAGTGGCAGTTCAGTTAGATCTGTGAAGTGGTCTGACTTGCCTGTGTCTGCCTAATTTGTGGAGCAGATTATAACAAGTGTAGTGGCTAGAGTGCATCCTTAGGTTGACAAGGGCTGATTATGCAACTACACATTTAGAAACCAACTTTTGCACAAGATGTAATTTTAAACACTGGCATGGCTATGAAGAGAAACAGTCCTGCACTCTTCCTGACTGCTGTTCCCATTCTCATGTTGACCCTTTCCTTTTCTGGTACAGGTATATGCCCAGTTCTCCTCTGCCTGCATGGTGCAAATGGCAACGGAGGGGTAGCATAAGTAACTAGCAGTTGGTTTGCAGGAAGCTCCTTCCTCTGCCCCAGCTTATATTGTTCCAGCATTCTAAACCTCTTATTAAAGGGGTGTGCTATTGATAAGATTGCTAAATTGCTTCAGTGCAATTTTGTGCGGTATTTCTGTGCTCATTTAGGGGCTTGTGGTGTCTGTTGTATTGTGTCACCACAGGCATTTCTGTACCCATGCAGCAACCTGACCTGATTTAATAAATAGCTTAGTGAAAAGGGCTGGCTTTAGATGGCTTGCTGTGCAGCACAGACCCTCTCGTGCAGGTGAAGTGAAGGTGAATAGCTGGGAAAAGAGAATTTGCATAGCTGCAGTGGCCACTGGAGAGACAGGAAAAAAGCATGCTTATCAAATTATAACTTTGTAGCCTGATCAGGGAGCTATCTACCTTTGTCCTTTGGCATCCTTCTCCCTTTTATGTTCTGTTGCCTCTGTCTCCTTGTCAACACAGAACCAAAAACCGAATCAAAACAAAAACATCACACAAAAAAAGACCCCAGCCCAAAACCCCCCACAATCCCCCCAAAATACCCCTGAAACACCTTAGAAAACAAACTCCTGGGCTCTTTTTCAGCTGAATCAGTTGTTTGATTCAGCACGAACATCTGTGGTGGTAGCATATGGCTCAAGGGGTGGTGCTGGGGTACTTGGTTACTGTACAGGTAATGCCTTTCAATCAGGAGGTTGCTATTGTTTCCATAATAAACAGGGTGATTTAACTGTGGCATTGCTGCCTGTAACAGGGTTCATATGAAGACTAGATAAACTTGCAGCAGTGTCTTGCTCCTCATTGTGATCTTCCCTGCAGTTGGTTTCTTTGTACTCAGCTTGGTGACATAATTGAGATATGGAAGGGCTGAGAATGACATCACCTCGGAGGAGATGCTGCCTTATTGCACAAATTGGTCCAGCTTGTAGGTTGTACCTAGTTTCCTGGATGCCTCTTGAGAAAGAGGATTGGCAGTTGTAGGCTGTGTAGTTGTTGGTAGAAATCGTTTTCCACCCTCAGCCTTTTCTAAGTCATCCTTAGAGTACACAAAACCGGAGCTGTGCTTGTATGAGACTTCAGGAAATACTGACTGTGCTATGCATATTTAGTGCCATTGCTCTGAATGTGTGCATTTCCCAGGACGAGTGGATCTTACGTACTTATGGTAGGTGCCAGTGTGAAACCAAAGGGACTGTGACACTGGTGTTTAAAGTGAAGTGGCCTATTTGGCCAGAATGTGCAAGGACCACAAATCTAAGAAGTCAAGGAAAAATGACTGGCATAATGTGTACACAGTTAGGCTGTGGAAGCTCCCAGGAGAACAAATGGAGCTCCCTGCTCTAAGACACGGGAAAACAGATTAAATGTACCTGGATGTTTCCCTTGAGAATAAACTATTTTTTGTGAGAAGTTGTATTTGATGAAGTCTTGCTACATGTATTCTCTCCCTAGCTGTTTTTTTTGAGTGGCCTGTATAGTGGTCTGTAGTCTGTAATGGCATCTAGCTGTATCTAGCAAGCATGCCACTTGTTCAAGAAATGCTGTGAATCTTTATCCATCTTTACAGGTTTGCAACAGTGAGGTATGACCAGGCATCCAAGAACATTAAAAATCAGTTTATGCATCTGACCAACTACAGTGTCAACAAGAAGAGTGGAGATTATGTCAGGTATTTGGCTGGGAAATGGAACTTGATCTCTAGAGGTTGGGTCAATTTTCCTATGTTGGTCTAATGCTGATCTGCCAGTGGTGTCAATCTGCTTCTTCATTTGTTTTTAGCTGTGATGATCCCGAAGTAGAGGATTATGGAAACAAGTGGAGCATGAGTGCGATGTTGAGGTACTTAAAACAAGAGGGGCGAGACACTGCAGGTCAGTACAGATCTTGCTCTTTTATTACATTGTTAGATCTTAATCATCTCAGTAGTGTGAACCCTAAGAAGTCAGGGAAGGGCCCCAGTGAATCCCAGTTAGCACCAGAGCAGGGTGGAGGGAAGCATTGTTCCTTACAGCTTACTCACTAGAGCTGTGCATTTATTCCCTATCCCCAGAGATGAGGTCTAACCCCTTCCCTTTTGCAAATAGAGACTTTCTCAGGGTGTGTTTCTTAATATTTTACCTACATTTCCCGTTTCTTAAGGTCATTCCATTCCTTCTAAAAGCTTCCCTCCCTCTACTGCTCCCATGGCCTGTTCAGTCTGATGAGTGACCAACCTCTGGAGAACTGTGCCAGTTTGAATAACTCTTGGATGTGGTGCCATCTTTCCATGGCTCAGGTTTTTGCTGAGTGTTTTCATTTCAGTATGTGTTTCATATAAAATATCTCCCTGTTCCACACCTTTGCCAGGTCTGCTGGGAGTAAATGCATCTGCAGAGCAGAATCCGGGTATATCCTTGAAGGGATAAATTACCTGTGATACTGAGGCATCAGTAAAACTACAATAGCAACTATGGCCCATATTGCAAATGTTGCCAGGGAACACTTAGATGTTGGAGAAAGGGATTTGAATCTGGCATTCATATGGAAATAGACTTTTTCTCCATCATATGCGTGCATGGCTGTCCAATCACTTGCACCATGTGTTTTCAGCAAGCTCTGAACACATAGTTATTTATATTGATACATTTTCATGCCTCACCCCAACCTAAACACATGCACTTCTAATTATTAAGTAAACTGCTGAGCAATGCAAGCAGATTTCTTTAACTGTCTATTACAAGGCTTCTTGCACCTTTCTCTGATGCATCTGGTTCTGGTCATAGGGAGGCAGAATGCTGGCTGCCTTGTCTGGGCTGGCAAGTTTTTTTGTGCTCTGCGTTGTTTATATGTACTGGGATGTTTCCATGCTGTGTTGCTTTCACTTAGTTGTCTTCTGGTACAGAAGTTCACATCTGAATTTGTTTGCATGCTCCTTCTGTAATTGTTCAGGGCCTTGCATGTCATGTCATCATCTGTGCATGAGAAACAGTAATTACAGGCCTAAAGCAAACTGTCCAGTCAAGTGGTTTGTAGTAGATGTTCTTTGAAGCAGAGATTGCCCAATGTCTATGTGGATTTGCTTGTGCTCCCTTTGGGTGTTGGGGAGGGCTGTCCTATCATACCTACTGACTTTTGAGACTAGGACTCTAGTATTTGTTCATTCCCTCCTCCTCTAACTTCTCTATTGCTTGTCCTTGAAAACAGAAACTAAGTGTGGTGTTCTTTCTATTGCATGACTCATCCTAAGCCCAGTGCAGAATCCAGGTCTACGTCTAGTGTGCATCTTTTCTTGCCTTTTTGCTCCCTCTGTCTGCTTAGGCTCCTGTTCCTGAGCTCTGTTCACAGGCTCATGCAGGAGCTGAAGAGTGCTTTTGTATTGCAGATTATGTACAGGTCAGCAGGGCTAGGAACTGTCACCAGTCCTGTAATTTTGAAATGCCTTGTGAATTTTTGTGTGGGAACAGCTGCTTTAGAGGAAGGTGCAACATCACAGAACAGTTATCTCATACAAGTCCACAAGAAAAATTTTTGTATCTCAGTGGCTATGGGTTATTCTCTGTAGTTTAAAGGACTTCTCTCACTAACCCACTCTTGTTTAATCCTTCCTAATACTCTGAGTGGGCAGTGGTCAGACTCCAGCTGACTTGTGCTGATGTGCTTGCCATATGTTTCTGCTTACCTGCACACTACATATACTCACATTTATCATTCTCATCTGTGTGTATTTTTGCACTGGGATACTTATGCATGTATCTAATACTTAGGCTTGCATGGGTTTTAAACACCACTGCTTTGTCAGCCGTAGGCTCTCATGTGCTTTGATTCACGAAGGTATCTGTCTGTGTGCATATTCTCATGCCTTTCTAGATATAGCGTGTTACCTCACAATCTACTTTTTACCTTTTTCTCCCCCCCTCCCCTCCTTGCAGCACTGATGGCCAACGTGGAGGACCTGATTATCAAGACTGTAGTTTCTGCTGAGCTGACCATTGCCACAGCTTGTAAAACTTTCCTTTCACATCGTGGCAGCTGCTTTGGTAAGGCACTGGGGGCATATTTGTTGTTTGACTCTTGAGTACTGTTTGAAACTTCCATCTTTCTGATGCTAGAGAGAAGTATGCATTCCTTTATTGCAAAGAAGCTGGATACTGTTTTAGTTTTTTGTCTGGGTTTATTTCCTCTACATATGCCGTTGTGAAGGCAGACATTGAATCTTAGCTGACCCTGTGCAATCAGAATCTCATGCTAGACAATGAAAATGGGATGATGAAAAGGGACTTGAAAGGGATCTGTGGAAGTGCCGGAAAGCTGACATTACTGACTCACTGGTGCTTTTGTTATGGATGACTGTGGCTGATTAAACACACCTTTAGAGCATTTAATATTTTCTCTTGACCCATCTAGTGCAATGTAGTTCTGCATTTTCCTACATGCGTCGGAGAGCTAGGGAGAAGCGTGTAACGCAGTGCCCGGTGTGACGGCGGTGGTGAAGGGTTTGCACGTGTTTGAGAATGCCGCAAGGTGGCGTTAAAGCCCATTCCTGGCAGGAGCTGGATGCACAACTGTGTGCTGGCAAAGGGATTTCAGAACTCGCTGACAGCAGATGCTGGGATGAGGTCCAGAAAGCAGCGGCTGGTACCACAGTGTGCCTTCTCCCACTTTCCAGTGGCTGCTTCCCAACCTTCCCTAAAGAGGCCTCCTCCTGCTCTTAGCCGTCCTGCACTCATGTGGATACATGCATGAAGATGAAGTCTCAGTCAGTGCTTAAATTAAAGGCTTAAGCTATTCCGGGTTTAGGTATTGGGACTTATATTTAAACTAGGTGTGACAGGTAAAGTAAGTCCATTTATGTGGTCCTTGCATTGCACTTAGATATTGACAGTTCTGCAGCTTTAAACACTCCAGCATAAATGCTGTCACCTTTGAATATTCAGGGATGATGACAGTCGAGAATCAAGAAGCCATGGCTCACATATTTAGTTACCTGCCAGAACTTGCTGCCTCTTTGACCATAGCTTCTCCTTGCCAACTCTGATGCCTTTGTTCAAAGTTGAAGGACCTTGTCAGGCATGGGGTTTTGTGAGTTAAATAATGGCTTTAGCGAAGTATCAGTTTATTGGCTACTCCTGAATTGTCAACAACTGGACTTAAAAAAAAAGAACACCAAAAAAACTTTAACTGCCTCTTTTTGGCTTCTCCCTTTTCCTCCCTCACTTGTGTCTCTAGATTCCTCTGAGCTGTGTATGTGGAAACTAATGTTCCTCCTGTAGTTTCTGCCGGGCCTGGCTCTGAGGTTATCCCACTTCCTGCTGCCTCCCCAGGGCTGCACTAACCACCCTCTCAGATGCTCCCCCACAAATAAACTGTTTTGTTCCGTTTATTTCAGTGTAAACATAAATTAAGAGCTTCCCAGGAAAGAGAGCTTAAGTATGAGCCATACTACTTCCCTAGGGAGCCTTAGGCATTTCCAGAGCTCAGTAGTTTCTGCTATCTTCCCCCACAATTAAGTGGTGGTCCTTGTCCCAAGGATTTGAACTGTTGTCATACTGTATAGCTCATTATTCATCCGTGTGTCTTGTCCCGACACTTTTTGGTTGTGCTGCTTTTAACCCTGTTTAAAAAAAGACAGTTTTTCTAGCTGGAAGTGTTCAGAATGGCACAGTTGATAGCTGTTAACATTAAGTAGAAAACTGGGAATGAAGATTTCAAGGCAGCGTGCAGTGTCTCAAGAGAGCCTTATTGTTCTTTCTGCATTCTGGGCTGTAAACAATGAAATTGCATGTGTGTCCTGAGAAAGGCTGATCATTTGAAAAATATCTCAGACTTCAGAAACCTTTATCTGAGATTCGGGTACAGAGGTGGGCCTTGTTTGGAAACCTTCTAAAATTTATAACTAAGTATGTATTTTACTCTAGTCTTTGTGATGCTGTTCTAGGGAATAGGACTCCCGTACAATTGCCACCTTCTTGGTAAAAATTACATCATAGCTACTTATTTGTCTAGATGCCCACTTTATTTTTCTAACAGTTTAGCACTGCTGTGGTACTTCAGTCCTTCCCCAAGCAAATGTTTTTTCTATACAATATACTTGTTTTCTAGATTTAAAGACAGTGAATCCATTTATGGCTTAGTTTTCTAAAATAAGACTGGGACAGTCTGATTCCAGCTACCTATGCTTGCCTAGAAAGTGAGTGGTAGGTCAGGATGATTCTTTTTCTAATGTCAAAGCAGAGTGCTGCTAACAGTCTGTGGAACGATGGTAGTGAGTCCCATTTTGGCCATGTAGTTTGAGCTGTTTCCTACCTTCTAGTAATAATCAGTTTTACAAGGACTTAGGATGCTCAGTTTTGTTCTTCTGAAATGCATTGTAGGAAGTAGTGCAAGCACTACATGATTTTGTTGCCTTGCTCGTGCACTGTTATTAACAAAGTGATCTCAAATTTCAACTTTGTTCTTTATGATTAGCTAATAATTCCTCATGTAAAATTAAGCTTCCAGTAGAAATTATTTTGACCAGTAAGTAGCTCTGGGGGAGGACATGCTGAAGGTCTCCAAGCCACTGCATTGTCACCAGTTGAGTTGTTGGTTGCCTCTGGAGGCTTCTTTAAGAGAAAGGTAGATTTTGCACTGACTTTGAGGGATGTGACATCTCACTGTGGGAACAGGAGGTACAATGGGGATGCATATGCCCAAGCCAGTTAAAAACTGCATTGTTCTCTTTCCTGAAGTAAGCATTTCTGGGTAGGCTAGAAAAGGCAGGGAGGCCTGCTTTCAGACAGTCTGAAAAATCTCCCTGCAGGATGGTTTAGTAGGGCATAAAACGAAGGCAATTGGGTGCAGCACATAGTTTTGCAAGAATCCAGTGTAACACCATTTTCTGTGTTCACTGAAACATGAGCCTGAAGAAGCAATAGATTTAAGTCCCCTGTTTCATTTCTGGCTCTATTCAACCCAGCTATGACACTGTTGCTCTTCTGCAATCAAGAAGACAGGTTAGGATGGAGTAATAGGCATATTGATCCCACCAAGGCAATGAGTTTCTTACTTAGCTGCTTCTGTGTCCTAAGGCTGAATCAGTCAGGCTTATGCTTCTAATTACATCTGCATTAAGATGGTATAGAGCAAACAATAAACTATTGTACTACTTGAATGGTGCTGACCTGGAGATAAATGCTTCAAAAAGTCTTAGTTTCTATCTAATCACCAGTTTCTCAACCATCTGTGTTGCTGTTGTTCATGAACATATTATTTTCTTAGTAGCAGCGATTGACCTGTTTGGGGGAATGGTAGCCTTTTGTAGTATTGAACGGTGCTGACCTGCTCCATAATGACTTTTGCAGGGCACTAAAAGCTTGAGATTCTTAAGAAATTTCTGTACACACTTGCTTGACATGAGCTGAGTCCTGGTTGAGTGACTTAAGTCAGCCATACATATACCATGCACACTTCCTGTATGCCCTTTGGCTTCTTAGATGGCATGGCACAGGAAAGCCAAACAGGTATTCCCTAATACACTTACCTTTGCAAAGCTTAAATCCGTTTTATTTTTATAGCCTTGATGTTAGTCTTTGCTTTAAAGACAGTATTTAAAGATGCCATTTAGAATCTGAAAAATTGCCCTTAGAGTCCTCTGGCTACCATCAGATTCAAGAGGTCTCTGCTTTTCAAGACAGGTACTTTGATGATTCAATGAGCAGGATAGGTTTTGTAATATAACTATATCTTCAAATTTAAATCCGTTTTATTTTTATAGCCTTGATGTTAGTCTTTGCTTTAAAGACAGTATTTAAAGATGCCATTTAGAATCTGAAAAATTGCCCTTAGAGTCCTCTGGCTACCATCAGATTCAAGAGGTCTCTGCTTTTCAAGACAGGTACTTTGATGATTCAATGAGCAGGATAGGTTTTGTAATATAACTATATCTTCAAATTTAATAAAACTGTCAGCTAAGCCTGAAGGGTAAAATGAGTTCAAGAGGCAGGTCTTCTAGTCATAGCCCCCATAGGAATAGGAGGTCTAGCCCTGCACTGTATTTCTTACTTGTCACTTCATAGCTCTAAATGGTACCTAAGTGATTATTGATGATTTTGCACCCAGAGCTTAGCTGAAAGATTCAAGATCCCTGTTGCTGCAGGAGCTTTTTGGTTTCTTTAGGAAGCTGTTCTCAGCTTGGTAGCACCAAGTTTTCTTTCTCAGGGTGCTGGGGTAGACCTAGACCTAGGAAGAGTGAAGTCTTCCAAAGACAGCCATAAAGAAATCACTAGTATTGTCAATTTATCATCAGTGGACTTGTGTTACCAAAGTCTGAATCAACCTTGACTTTTCATTCCATCTTCTACTGCCACTGGTACTTGTAGTGACATTAAAGTCTTCAGCAGATAGGCAAAGACGTGAGTGAGGAACACCAGGTTATTCTTGTCTCCGGGTTTGCTTGGGGCTAAAGTTCTTGGAGTTTGGGAGCTGGAAATCAAAAGAATTTGGATTAATGAGGTCAGGAAACACCTTCTTCCTCCTTCATCTCATGTACCAATCTATCTATGGAGTCAGTTGACTTTTATTTTGATTTACATGCTACTACATTTTCTTAATTTAGACACCTAAATTTGCTGAGGATCAAGTAGCAGCATATCTACTGTCACGTTCCTCAGTGTCATAAGGGAAGTTGAGTGATGTCCAAAAGTGGTTACTGGGATATTAACCTCTTCACTCACTATGATATCACACCCTGGATTGAAGAACTTTCTCCTTCATGGGTGATAATTTATTTACTGTGCAGGATTAGGATTATAAAGGCATCCCAATTTGTGGAGGAGGAAGTGCTGATCTCTAGTGACCAGCGACAGGACATAAGGAAATGGAATCAGGCTGCATCAGGGGAAGTTCAGATGGGACATTAGGAAAAGGCTTTTCACTGAGAGGGTGGTCAGTTACTGGAAGGGGCTCCCCAGGAAATTGATCACAGGACAAACCCTGTCAGAGTTCAAGGGGTGTCTGGATGGTGCTCTTAGGCATATTGTTTAGTCTGAGGTAGTCCTGCAAGGAGCAGGGAGTTGGACTCAGTGTTCCTTATGGGATCCTTCCAACTTGAGTTATTCTGTGATTTTATGTATACACCCTGAAATTAATCCACTTCTGAAGACTTTTACTGGGAATGTGACTAAGTGTCCTTCAGGCTTCAGTAGAAGAAAAGAAGGTAGAGAAGCCACCTTATGAGTGATAGACTTTCTCTGGTTACCTGTTATGGAGGAAGTGCCTCTAAGTGAGACAGTCACACATTTGGCCAAGCTAGTATGACAAATCTTGGCAGGTGCAGGCTGCATCTCATGAAGCAGACAAGAACACCAACACGTGGAATAATTTTGTCCCCTCTTGTTGGATCCTTTTCTATAATAACACAGAGAGAAAGCCTTTTTCTGCAAAAGTAAAGTTCTCTAAAAAAAGGGGAATTAAACTGTTAGTAGGAGTGCAAGGCAAATTACTGCACAAGGCTACAGCAGCAGTACGTTCTCCAAAGCCTTTCGTGTCCAGAGTAGAGGCTTCTATTCTATTAGGTGATATGATACAGTGTGGCCTTTTGCTTATAAAAGCATAAATTATGCTGGTCTTTTGTAGAGCAACAAGAATGATTTGGGACCTGACTGAGATAGCCCCCAACATGTAGATTTGTTCATGGCCCTATAGCTATTTAAGATTTTTCTCTGCTGGGGCTGAAGCAGGTACTGCAGCATCACTAGATAAAGTGTTGGAGTTCATTTACAAAATACTCTGTAGTCTCTGAAGCCTCAGGTTTGGCAGTGTGTTCCACAAAGCAGTATGTCCATCACTGTACTCTTGGAAGTTTTTCTCCCTGGTGCTATCTGGTTGCTGCTTTGGATGAAGTTGTAGCATAGTTAACTTTTCTACCTGAAGCTCCTTGATACATGATGCCCATAAGCATGGTCTGTGGAATACCTTTATATCAGCAGAGGAAAAGTAGGAAGGAAAAGGGGAGGACTTGAATTTCAGTGACAAAGGGTGTAGTTCCTTACATTAGGAATGTCTAAGTATGCTTCTGCATAAAATTAGGTGGTTTTTTATTGTAAAACTAAGAGTTGCATATGATGAAACTTCTTTTCTTCAGTGCATATGTGTCCCTTTGTAACCTCAGGTTGGCTCCATTCAGTTACAGAATAAGTACTTTGCAGAAAAGCTTCTTTTTCCCCAGGGAACAGGCTGAAAACAAAGACTAGAATTACAGCAACCCTCTAGGAATTGAGCTTATTCGTTCTATGCAAAATCATGAAAAATGTTTGTGTGCTACCGTGCTGTCACTTGTGACTTAGAATAGCAAATTCTTTGGGGATATTTTGTAAAAGGGAGTGCCAGTGCAGTCTTTGACAGGATTATAAACTAAACTTGGAATACATGGTAGTTTACCAGAGCTAAAAAACTTGAGCCTGTGTCTCTAGCCTTCCTTTTAGCCTTAATGACATTGACAAAAAAAAAATCTCTGGCTGAACTGTTGCTGTTAAACTCTAGTCAGAAGCTAAGCTTTCTTTTGGGAAGATCGAAAGCTCTGTCAGCAATGACTTCTCAATGGGGGTCAGAGAGGAGAGCCAGGCTGTTCTTTCTGAGTCTTGGCAACAGCTGGTACTTCCTGATACAATTCCAGTCCTTTTAGCAAACTGCAAGGGTGAAACATATTTTTGTGGGTTGTAGTAGCAAGAGGAGAGGAGAAAGGGAAGACACTATGAAAACCTGTTATCTTAATTTCTTCTGTTCTCCTCTTAGTAACAATATTAATGCTAGGTGGGTTGTCACAGAGTACTGTTTCCACAGCGTGAGGCATGTTTTTCAGTCATTCTGTGTTGTTTACTCTCTTTACAGAGGGAACTGGCAGCCTTGCTTAAGTTGGTAATTGCAGAGGATATACTGTTGATTTTGCTATGCTCATGTGACTCCACATTTTTGTGCTACCTATGTATATATTTTTACAAATGATAGTGGAGTTTCACAGTGGAAAGGATACTACTACTTCTGTGTTTAATCTAGGTAGTGCATTTTCCAAATGTGGAAGAGGGCTAAGGTGATATTTCTAGGTAAACTTTTGTCTGTTTGTTGACAGCATCTTTGTGCTAAGCCCTATGTGGAACCTGTGAGGCTTGATTCTGTTGCCAGAACATGGCTGTTGTGTAGCTCCTGATGCCCTGAGGTAGCAAGACCTCTGTCTCGGGGTTGTAGATATGACCTAGAATACATGAAACTTGGGGCATTATGGAGCAGCAGTGGAGTCTTCATAGGAGACCCTGAGACATTGCAGGTGGCATTAGATGTCTGTGTTGAACAGTGAAATTGAGTCAACAGGGATACACTGAAGAGCTTACTGTCCTGATAAGCAAGACAGACACCAGGGAAAGGAATGTAAAGCACCAGCAGTGTGGTTAGGACTAGCTGAGGTCAGGAGGTTTCCCATGTGTGTTTGTAAAAGTGGACAGAGTGAGTAACTGGGTGGGAAAGACAGAGGTTTAAAGAGTAAGTGATTTGCAAGAGAATCGTGTGGGAGAGGAGGACAAAGTCAGAGGAGCCAAAAGGTCCTTTGAAGGGCAAAGGGAGGGAATGGCCCGTAACAAAAGAAGCAGGAGCTAGTCAAAACAAAATGTGCTGCTTCCTGGTGGGCTGAGAGGTTGCAGACCAGCAGCTCCTACAGGCCCACTCACTTCTTCTCTGCCATGGGCATGAGCTGCCCATCCACTGGAGTTTTCTATGCCATTAGGAGTCATGGGTCTTGGGTCTTCACCAAACCTGAGACTGTGTTTTGAAATAATAATGTATTAAAGTCACCAGAAGTTTATCCTGATCAAAATGCTTTGCTAATGTTTACACTTATAATCTCCACCTCCTCCTTTCCCATCTGGGGAGCAAGAGAGCCAAATGTAGATTCAGCCTCATTTCTTTGGAGTGAACCAACTCTTTAACTCTCTGCTGTTTTGCTTCCCACTCAGTGTCTGGCTACAGAGTCTAGAAAAGTGAGCAGGCAATGTTCACTCTGCTGCCATTTCTTCCCCTTCCAAGTCCCCCCCACAGCTCATTAACTTTCCATTATAAGCTACATGAGCTTTTGCACAGCTGTCTGCATAGGAAGATCTTGTCAAGCAGTCCAGCTCCTCAGAGCCAGCATCAATGTCAAGCAGGTGACAAAAGGCCAAGGGCAGAATTCAAGGAAAGCAGCATGGCAAAGAAGTTCTCCTGCTTTTATTCCCTAGGCACTAGGGAACTGGTTAATTCCATGGAAATCCTTCTTCTCTGCCAATACCCTGTTCTGGGGTGTTTTGAAAAAAAAGTGCCTAAGTTTCACTGATGATCATTAACTGTATGTCTTAATGCTGGAAGAGGGAATTGCACTAATGCCAACTTCTGATTTACAGTTGTCTTTGTGTAGCATCCTTCTGGCAACTCTTTCCAAACTACAGAGAACGTGTGTATAGAGTGAAATACTAAAATCGGTCTTGGACTGGAAAGCTGGCTTCAATCTGACCTGTGTATAGCAGAACACATCTAGCAGATGTGATATGTTATGAATCTTTTAGAAACTAAGGAAGAATTTTTCTGTCGTGGTTTGCTGCAAAGTGGCAAACTGTCAGTAAACTAAAGAGTTTCAAGAGGTTGTTCATGTAGATGGAGCTGCTGAGGAGAAGTCTGTTGTAATCCCATGGGGATACTGCAGAAAACTTACAGGAACAATTGAAAAGAAGCTGATGCTTGAAAGAAGCAAGGTTTTCTCTAGCTAACTGGAACAATAAATATAGGAATTAAAAAGTGGAAAGGAGAATGAAGTTCTTTTGTTTCCAGGATCCAGTACAAGAAGTAGATTGAACCTGCTGTGCTTATGTCAATTCTGTGTGAAAGCAAGTAGTAGAGTTCTGCATGAGCTACAGTTTGTGGGCAGGAAAGAGTTGATTTTTTTATGTAATACTTTTCTGAGATTCATTTTTTTGTTCCCTTCTTTCTTTGATAGAATATATTTAATCTTGATTTTGAGGAATTGAAAATTCCCATTTGTGGGATGTTATTCATAGAACCATAGAATCAACTGGGTTGGAAGAGACCTCAAAGATCATGGAGTCCAACCCTACCGTGGTTACTATACCATGGCACTAAGTGCCACATCCAGTCTCATCTCAAAAACCTCCAGGGATGGTGAATCCACCACTGCCCCGGGCAGCCCATTCCAATGCCAGATCCCTCTCTCTGTAAAAAATCTCTTCCTGATATTCAACCTAAACCTCCCCTGGCAGAGCTTGAGTCTGTGCCCTTTTGTCCTCCTGCTGGTTGCCTGGGAGAAGAGACCAACCCCCACCTGGCTACAACCTCCTTTCAGCTAGAATTATTCAGCCCTAGAGAGTTTACAGGATTTAGCATAAACTATTTGGATAGAAATAACCTGATAGAGACTATTGTTGGACCTTACCTGGATATTTAAAGATGCAGTAAGGTGAACGTGGTGTTTGCTGTGTTTTCAGAGCTGTACGGTTTTGATGTCCTTATTGATGACACCCTCAAACCCTGGCTGTTGGAAGTGAACCTGTCCCCATCATTGGCCTGGTAAGTGATTCCCAGTTCGATATGAGGTGGGAACTGTTTCTGCAGATGGTTGTCCTTGAAAATTGTGGCTCTAGGAGGGCATGGTTTCATGATGCCTGCAGATTATTTGTTCCACTGCTCATTGACAGAGAGGATAATTTTTTGCTTTTTCCCTTGCATAAACAAATTTATTGCAACAGTAGGCTTTAAAAGAGCCCAGTTGGAATTCCATTTTCTTTTTAATTGTTTCTCTTCCACAGTCCCTCATTGTTAACACATAATAATCTACCATCGTAGACAAATTTTTAAACTCTACAGACTGTTGTGTGGGGTTTCAATCTTCTTGGCTGATAAAGCTGTAAGATTTTGAAGTCCAAGCAGAGTTCAGTCATTATGCTTGACTTAAGTACACAGATGAATGCTTCGGATCAAATGTTTGGTCTAGTACTCTCTTTAGCTAAAATCTAAAGAGTAGGTGTTGTCTTGGCCCTTGTGCTGACCCTCAGACTCTAATGAAATTCAAAGATTTAGGTTTTAGAACTCTCAACTATGATTTTATGTGCAAGAGTCATAGCACCTGTGTTTTTTAAGAATTCTACAACAGCAACTTTTATATACTTCATGAAATGTAGCATAGATATATTCAAAGAAAATGTTTCTAGCCAAGCAGGGCTGAAACAAAGCTGTAGATGTCTGCATTAGGAGACTAAAAGCTGTGGAAAAACAGATCCATCTGTTGCTGTATGATTTTTACATGTATGTGAAAATCACATAGTTTTCCTCCCATGTTGTTTTTGCCTGTGCTAAAATCCAAAACAAAGAAACCATATTGGCAGATATATTGGGTATTGATGTGTTCCTGTAATTTAATGCCAGACAAATAATTCCTCTTGTCCTCTGTTCATGTGGGGACAGTGATGCTCCTTTGGACCTGAAGATCAAAGCTAGCATGCTCTCCGATATGTTCACCCTTGTAGGTGAGTGTAAATAAAAGCTCCTTCAATCTTTCCCTCGTTTAAAACCAATGAAAGGTAGTTTTATGAGCTGCATATTTTTAGGTGAGTGCAATAGAAGCGAACTTCAGTTAAGCAACTGTATTTAGCACTGCGAAGTGGTATGTGGACATTTCAGCTTCAGAATAATCTGTATGTGATGCTTAGGCGTTAAGAGTCCCTAGTTTAGTATTTGAAGATGCTACTGTCTCTTTAGCCCTCAGAGTCAGTATTCATGCATATTTTAGGATTAATGTGTGGATTCTGGTTAGGGTATGTTAGAATTGGAGTCATGGCTGTCGAGTGCACAGCATCCCTAGTACATCTTGGTTCAGTTACCTGTCACAACTGACTGCTAATACTAAAAGAGGCAGAATTGTCATCAGGTAGCCTGCTCAGCTGTTTAAGAAATGGAGTCTAACTCTATGCTGCTATTCAGTAACACATCATATTGATCTAAGTACTTTGTTTTGAAGCAAGTTGCAGTTTCATTAAAAATATGTAATGCAATGTATGGTTTGGGATTAAACAAAGCAAGGTATAAAAAAGAAAAGCATCTTTATTGGTCCTTGTACAGGAACAGGAAGGTCATGTATAGACTGAGATTG